GGTCTTCACGGCCCCTCCACGCACGTGGTGTGTGGAGGCCAGCCCCTGCGCGATTGGGGGAATTCCCGGCCACGTCACCCCCTGGCCGGCCAATCAGCCGGTTCAGGGGGCGTGGCCTACCCTATAAAGGCAGGACGCGGCCAGGGATCTCCCTCTTTGCCACGCATCAGCATTGGTATAGTTCTGTAGATGGAAGAGGGAAGGTAGCGCCATCACCTGCCCCGCATATTGAAGGGTAATCCGATAAAGGATTCTGGGGGGGAGTGGCCCTGTCTGAAGCCTATAGAGGTGAGGGCCTAAGACACGCCCCCTATCAGTGACCCCGGGGGAGTTCCTAGTTGATGTGCATTAGCAGGACTCTCCCTACTGGTGGTTAACCCTTCCTGGACTTCAAGCGGACAGGCTGAAGTTGGACATAGTCGGTTAGGACCAATGCCTAAGCCAATACCGCTCATCACCTGTAACCAATAAAGTTGTGGCCTTTTTTAGCCCATTAACCTTAATAATTGTGTCATGTGTCATTATTTCCACCCGGGGGGGGGACTTGCCACGCAATGGAACGGACTCCCTTAGGAGGTTGGGGACTACCCTTCACAGGAGGTTTTTAAGCAGAGGTTGGATTGCCATCTGTCAATGAGTTTTTAGCTATGATTCCTGCATTCCTTCAATCTCTATAATTCTATGATTCTAGGAACATGATGTTGGGATGAAAAAACCCATGAAACGATGACAGAGGGGGTACAAAGTGTTCACTGAAATTCTCAACATGTGTCGATGTTCAAGGTTCACACAGAGTACTTTGGAACGTGTGCCTTGAACAACGCATTGTACTCATTAATCCTTCTGTACTTGAGGACAGCAAATACAATTCTGTCCCAGGATCCTGCAAATGCAGTCCTTGTTCCTTTCAAGGCCTTACAGCAGAAGGGATTTTATGGAGAGAGAGAAAAAAACAGAACTAGTACTTCTTGTTGCTTTGCGAGTCTTTCAATTATGTTACCCATAGACTTTTTTTTAATGTATTGCTTCCTCGATGTGGTAAATAGAAACTGCATAAACTATTTATGTTTGATTTAAATGCCAGCCCTTTAATTTACTTTTCTCATTACACTCCAAAGCAATGATCATCCTGTTTATTGGCGCTAAATATTTCATAGGCTTCACAACATTGTATAACTTATTAAAAACAAATGGAGGTCATTACGCTACCCATGGCGTCTGAGTGGATGGGTGGAAATATGCGCAGAGTTGATCTCTAATGGGACTCAAATTGTCAGGTGGAGACAGGCTTCTGTGCCTTAAAAGTGTACATAGCCAGTGAAACAGCCCATCGTTCAGATGGTCGGGGCAGCTGTGGTAGCATTGGAAATTAGAGGCAGTTTGCAGGAGAGTTAGACAGTTGCAAATTTCATGTATTCTGTCCCCCTACCCTGTCCCCCATCATCATCATCATCATCATTAACATGCCATTCATCAGCAAGTTCAAGGGCAGGTTGCAACAATTTAAAATCTAGAATAATAATACAGTGGTACCTCGGGTTAAGTACTTAATTCATTCCGGAGGTCCGTACTTAATCTGAAACTGTTCTTAACCTGAATGGGGCCTCCTGCTGCTGCCGCGCCGCTGGAGCACAATTTCTGTTCTCATCCAGAAGAAGAAGAAGAAGAAGAAGAAGAAGAAGAAGAAGAAGAGATTGGATTTGATATCCCGCTTTATCACTACCCTAAGGAGTCTCAAAGCGGCTAACATTCTCCTTTCCCTTCCTCCCCCACAACAAACACTCTGTGAGGTAAGTGGGGCTGAGAGACTTCAAACCACTGGAAGGCAAGGTAAGGTGACCATCTCAGGCAGCAGATTCACAGGGGCAGCAGATCTGGCCTTGAAGGAACTCCTTGCCTGCTGCTGCCACTCCTGTGGTGGCAGCAGTGACTGCAATATACTCCTTGAAGGCCAGATCTGCCTCCTCAGAAGGATCTTCTCTCCTCAATGCCACCTCTACAGTGGTCGCTTGGTGAATAGGAGGTGCTGCTGGTTTCTTCCCATCCCTAGGGAGGAAATGGTTGCCCTCTGGGGTCTTCTCGCACCCAGCAGGATTCAGAATGGGCCCCTTTCCCCCTGGCGATGGCCTTTGAGACCCACTTTAACCACTGAGTAGGTTAATTTGACACCCATCTACCTGTTCCCAATGTAGATCTTCACCCCCACTTTGTTCCAGATGTAGATCGTTATCCCCCATTGTTCCACATGTAGATCTTCACTCACCCCTTCCTCCTTGGTGGGAGGAGGCGCCATTCTGTGGTTCACCTCAGGTGCCAAAACACCTTGAGCCAGCGTTGCCCCAATCCCTTATTCTGAGCTGAAAATGTTTGGGAAAGAAGGTTTGGCTCAGTCCACTGCAGAAGCCATGTCTAGTATTCCAGGAAGAGCAGCATAAACACCTCCATTTCCAAACATATATGCCCAGTGGTATGAGTTGGATCAGCCTTCCCCAAGCCGGTGCCCTCCAGATGTTTTGGACTACAACTCCCAACAGCTGCAGCCTGTGTGGCACATGGGAGTTGTAGTCCTAAATATCTAGAGGGCACCAGCTTGGGGATGGCTTTATTGGGCTACAGCCCTCTCTTTGTGATTACTGAGAAGCGGCTGCATAGTGGGGCATAATGGGTCATGGCAGAAGCCCCTACCTTTAACCACCATGCAGAAGGCCTGATAAATATAGTGTTGTGCTGTTTCCCCAAATTCCTGATTCCCCCCTCCCTCTGCAAAATAGGCTTTCATTTTTCTGCCTCATTCTCCAGAAACTTGAGAATTTCAATAGAAATTCAGTGAGCAAGAGGTTTTCAGCTTACCTTATCATTGCCAGGTGGTCAGGTGTGGTGCGTAAGTGTGTATCTTTCCAGAAAACAGTTCTTTAGCCTCCTCAGCTGCTCAGCTTCCCCACCTCTGCTTTAGAACCACTGGAAACTGGCTGCTTCCAAGGGACTAGCTTCTTGGGACAGATGAATGTCTCCCATTTATGTTTCTCATTTTTTCTAATCCTAAATTCAGCTATCCACATTTCTGCAGCAACTTCCATGTTTTTTAACTGAAAAAAATGCTAATGAAAATTCACCACTATTTTAGTGTAAATTTCTCCTGATGTAAATATTTTTGTATGCAGTTTTCGTTAACATGCACATTTCTGCAAGCAACTCTCCCTAACGTAATAACATTATGTCAGTTTTTGTTTTTTTTACTAATTTATGCATTTCTGTATACGTTGGTTGTTTACAGAACCACATCCCAAAATTCAGAGATGTACAGTGGTACCTTGGGTTACAGACGCTTCAGGTTACAGACTCCGCTAACCCAGAAATAGTACCTCGGGTTAAGAACTTTGCTTCAGGATGAGAACGGAAATCATGCAGCAGCGGCGCGGCAGCAGCGGGAGGCCACATTAGCTAAAGTGGTGCTTCAGGTTAAGAACAGTTTCAGGTTAAGAACGGACCTCCGAAATGAATTAAGTTCTTAACCTGAGGTATCACTGTTCAGATTTTGAAGGATTGCTATGTTTATTGGTTCAAAAAGTATGAACTGGGTAGCTTCTCATTCCAAAGCAAAGAAAAACAAATTTCTCCCCCCAAATTACACCGATTGGTGTAATTTTGCTTAATCTTATTTAACCTAATATAAATTAGTTACTTGACTGTGCTCTCAAAGTTAATCATGTTCAATTTATGAATATTTATACTGGTTGTACATATTCTTATGATCTGAGTGCACAGTTCACCCATAGTGCATTCCAGATCAGTGAAAACTAACCATTTCCCCCATACTTGCTATCTCTCCATACAGAGGCAAATGAAATGTCAAGGATTCAACAGCATAATTTTCCCAGACCACAATGTGCTTTGCTTTCAGTGCACCAGGAAAGACCAATTAGGAGGACTGGACAAGTATTAATATAGCTTTTATTCCATTTGGCATATTTTATTTCACTTTGACTCCAAATTTCTATGCATGAAGATTTTTTTTAAAAAGTATTCTGTTTTAAAAGTATTAGGTGGTTTGCAAACAATGGCATTATTTTACAGACTGTGGCAATTCCTTCTAGTCTGTATTCCCCAACAAAATAATTATAAGTGTGAGACCAGCTCAAGCTTTCATCATGTTACAGTCTGAAACATGCCAACAACATATGAAATACAGAAAGAGCCCTGCAGGATCAGGCCAAAGCCCCTTGAACCCACAACTCTGTTTTGAGGGTGGCCAACCAACTGGTTGAGATTCCCAGCAACTGGTATCTGGAGGCATATTACCTCTAACAATGAAGATAGCACATAGTTATCGTTGCCAGTACATGGTTTTTATTGCAAAATGCTCTCATGCTTCTGTGCTGCTCACCTTCATTTCATGAGAGCTACAACAGAGAAAAGTCCTCACTGGATTTTGCCCACGTGCAAAACATCCAAATACATTCAGGAGAAACAGAGTGGAGAAAACCATCACCCAAATATAAGATAAACCCAAGGCAGCAAAAAGTCTCATTTAAAGAGCGGAATTCCATAGCTGTAGACGATCCGCTGGGAATGTCACTTAATCTGGGGCGTGGAGGTTTTTCATAGATCTAAGAGATCATTACAAGGCACGAGGAAGGAAGCAGCTCCTAAGATATACCAGGCTTATGCCCGTCTTACCAGCGTCGAGGATCAGAACGTTCATGCCCTGATATAGATCTCCGAGAGTGTCACTCTGTGCAGACAAAACTCATTGCAAGGAGTCTCCCCACTCACGTCAATTGAGGGAAAATACCATTGCCTGCAAATGAGCCTGCAGAGGTATCTTCTACATTCTGACAAGTGGAGTCGATGTGGGCAACTGATCCACTATGGTTTGGGGGTAAAATCTAAACATTTACCCAGGCAGCTTCAGGGGGATCTCACGGAGTGAACTCTTGGCCTGCCTCCAAGCTATCGGAGAGCAGTTATTTTCACACCCAAATGGAACTCCAGTGCTGGAATCAGGAGACCAGGCCCCTTGGCGAACTCTCTGACTCAATCACTGTCCTTTTGTCTGGTGCACGGTTTGATCGCAATCTCTTAATGCTGGGCAGGTGTCTCTTCATCAGCAGCTGAAATCTTTTCTTCTTACATTTGTTTGTGCATCTTTCAGAACTCGGAGCATAGCAGAGAGGAGAGGGAGCCTCTTTATTGCAATGTTTGTCCCACAAAACAGGCCTGGGGCTCCCGCTGGAGGACTTTCCCTGGCTCTTTGGTTGGCTGTGAACAGTCAGAGGAAGGGCTGGATGTTGTGACAGGCAGGCTGTCTCCTTCTTTTGGGACAAGAGAATCCTGAGCTCCGCAGGTCCATACTCAAAGAACAGAGATTCTTTCCTTCGGATGTTGGGGCTTTCTCCCAATGTCAAGAACCCATACGGGGTGGTGATTTTAGGGAGGTGGGGCAGGGAAAAAGCAGCCTGTGTCACAGGATCTGAATGGTACCCTCCCCTTTCTAAATGTTCAGAAGGAACAGCCATATCTCTCAGACACAGGGTTTCTCGTCTGCAACAAACCTGTTGCTGTAGAATGCCTCCGTTTCGAACACACATCTCAGACTTGCTTCGGATAGGTCTGGGTCTTTTGGCAGGTTCCCCAGAGGGTCTGTTCCCCAGAGACTCTTCCTGAGGATCTCCCACTGTCTCAGGCTGAGTTGCAAAGTGGTCCACGTCTAAGGAAGGTATGCAGAATTTGGGGATGCGATCAGGAGTGACAATGACACTGAAGATGTCTCTGTTTCTCGGCAAGGACTTTTCTTCAGCAGCCGGCCGGCTGGTTTTGGAGACCGTCCAAGTAAACATCGTTTCAATAGCGCCTTTTATGGAAAGCTGTGGTGCTACAGGAAACATCATTGGAGAATCTTGTGCCTTTTTTTCAGAGAGAGAGAGAGAGAGAGAGAGAGAGAGAGAGAGAGAGAGCGCTGCTCTTTGCTGATTGAACTCACACCGAAGGGAGCGGGGATGAAAAGTACCCGCTGGCTTTTATAAAAACAAAGTCAGCGACGTCACCTGCCATCAGGACGTCAGTGGCATGGCAACCAAAGATAAGAAAGCTTTTATGCTGCTACTTTTAGACTTGGTGTCTGATTCATGCTGCACAATTACACTAAAGCACCTCAAAAGCATTACCTCTTTTTGCAAAGGGCAACTTTGGGTCTCTCTCTGGTTACCTATTAAATGGCCTGAGAATAACTACACAGAGCTCTTGACATTTCCAAACATCCTGTTATCGTAATGCTAATTAAGTTAGTTTAGTTGTGTGTTTTTTAATGTTCACTCTTCCCAATCCACAATGCTCCAGAATCAATTGGAAAGCAAAATAAAAATGCATACAACTTGTTGAACACAAAGATCTTGGAATTCTGGAGTTAGGGGGAACCATGGAGATCAACTAGCTACTTAATGTAGGATCTGCATTTGCAGGTTGCAACTGTATCTTTCTTGGCCAATTGGCATTGTAATGATCCTGAAATCAGTCTCCCTGTTGCTGGGCAATGAAGCTGCGGATTTAGAGGGGGAGAGAGAGTGAATTGCCCTCAGATACATCTAGGGTTGCCACCTTTGGTTGGGCAAAATATGGGACAGGTTGGACAAAATAAAGGACAGGTTGGGGTGGGGATTGGGGGGCACACACACATTCATGATGCCAAGTCCTCCCCCCTTGTGGAGGGGGGTTCCCTGGATTCAGCCTCCCTCCTCCCTCACCACCCTGGCCTGGCCCCATTCTTCCCTTTGACTCATATAGACGGCCAGGGAGCAGAGTAGAACATGGATCACTGGTACCAAATCGTATGGGAAACAGCCTTACTAGTAAAGCTAACCAACAGACTGAAACTGACATGAGGACAAATTAAAGAGAAAACCTTTGCCCTGGCGTGACTCTCCTTTATTACACACACAGCCCAACAATACAACAACAGGAATCCACCGCCAGCATATGGATCAATATGGCTAACTTGATCCCAAAACACCCCCACCCACTGCAGTCAACTGAAGACAGCCAAGGTAAGGTAAAGGTAAAGGATCCCTGGACTGTTAAGTCCAGTCAAAGGTGACTATGGGGTTGTGGCACTCATCTTGCTTTCAGGCCGAAGGAGCTGGCATTTGTCCACAGACAGCTTTCCGGGTCATGTGGCCAGCAGGACTAAACCGCTTCTGGTGCAACGGAACACCGTGATGGAAACCAGAGCGCACTGGTATGCCATTTACCTTCCTGCTGCAGTAGTACATATTTGTCTACTTGCACTGGTGTGCTTCCGAACTGCTAGGTTGGCAGAAGCTGGGACAAAGCAAGGGGAGCTCACCTCATCGCGTGGATTCGAACTGCCAACTTTCCGATCGGCAAGCCCAAGAGGCTCAGTGGTTTAGACCACAGCGCCACCCGCGTCCTTTGAAGGCAGCCAGCCAGGCCCTGGGCCCCACAACCTTTCTCACTGCCAATGAATAGAAAGAGAACCGACCCAAGTGACAACTGGCACAAAAGCCTCACACATCCACTAAGTAAAAGAATGCAAGTTTACCACTCCCTCCCCCCCTCTCTCCCCAACCTTAATGTCTCACATCAGATGTAGATGATCTGTAGAAAAGATTCTATGGCCTGAAGGTAGAGACTATTCTTTTTTAAAAAAATAATTTTTATTAACCGACCAATCAAATCAAATCAAATCACATCACATAAATTCCGAATTACAAAGCCGAATTTTAAATTTTTGTTGAGGGGACCCATATTTCAAGTTCCGAAGGGGGATTCCGATCATCTTCTTGCTACTGCGTTAATATCCAAATCAGTCCAAATAAAGTTCATAATTCTATCCAGTCTTATCTTGCTGTTTCCACATCTCATCTTGTTCGTACTTTTTTTCTTTTTTCCTTATGATCTCTTCTGGTAATCTCCTTAAGCAGATAAACACCAATTGTAATCCTGTGTGAATTTTTCCGTTCGTCCAATCCTCATATCAAGATGGTTTCCATAGATCATCGCTTTCATAAATAACATCGCTCTTTCCATCATTTATCTCGCAAACTGCCGTTCTTAAGTCCCTCTGAGGAGTCTCACACACAATATAAAAGCAGCTGTATTCCTCCTCCCAGACTCAAGTCCTCCGACAGAGCTTGCCAACATGGCGACGGTATTTTTAACTGCGTCATTCCAAAGCTCTTATACATTCCACGATCTTCTTAAAACATGCTTTGGTTAGAAAATTTATCTCCACACAGTCTTAAATCCACAACTTAAGTCATTAAAACGACATTTCTGACTTGTGAGGGGGGGTGTTTCTTATTTAATCACATAGAGGAAAGAAAGGAAAGTTTTTTCCCCCCTCCCCCATCCAGTCCCTTTGCCATACCGAGTCTTGGCATATCTTCTCATGATTTATTCTTGTTCCTCCGACTCGTCTTGTTTATCAGAGATCTCTTCAGTTAGCAGTCTTTACTCCCCCTCCTTCCTTGAAATATGTGCATTCGCTTCCTCCTAATTGATTCTTTTGAAGTTCTTGCAGCTAGTGGCGCGGATCAGAGACAGCGTCCAGGAGCACCAAGATCCCCACTAGTGCCCCCATCCCCACTAATTCGGGGGTGGTATAGGGCACAGCAGGCAAGGGCAGCCCCCCCACAACCTTGGGGGGTAGGGAGGCTATTTACTCCCATCACAGCCTCCTAATTACCTCGTGTGGGTCGGAGAGATGTTATTGTCAGCCATCTTCCGATGTGCCCCTAGTGGCCCCCCGAAGGTAGAGACTATTCATGCTTTTGTGTGATTGGAATGTGATGCGGCTGCTTCCCTTTGGGGCATCTGGTTAGAAGAGTTTGGATTTGATATCCCGCTTTATCACTACTCGAAGGAGTCTCAAAGCGGCTAACATTCTCCTTTCCCTTCCTCCCCCACACTCTGTGTGGTGAGTGGGGCTGAGAGACTTCAGAGAAGTGTGACTAACCCAAGGTAGAGGAGCGGGGAAGCGAACCCGGTTCACCAGATTATGAGTCTACCACTCTTAACCACTACACCACACTGGCTCTCTCACTGGTTAGCCACTGCGAGAAAAGAATGCTGGTCTAGATGGGCCTTTGGCCTGATCCAGCAGAGCTCTACTTATCTTCCTCCATCCACAACCACAGTTGACCTCCTACAACACTAAGATGTGGTTACTCATGGGGAAATGTGACCCCTGGACTGGATAGAAAGTTCTGCATCCCTGCTCTGGTGGGACCACCAGCTCCCATGCTCCATCAGAGCTCATGGATGCTATGGCAGGCTGAGCCTCTGGAAATTAAAAGGTGCCTTTCACTGCAACCAAAGTTAGCAATTACGTTCTGCTCTTAAGGAGCCTCCAGCATAAACACTTGATGGAACTGGTGGAATATATTCCTGCAAAATGATTTCCCCTCCACTCAATCAATAAAAGCTCTATATGGCATTTGTTGTTGTTTAGTAGTGTCCGACTCTGCGTGACCCCATGGACCGGAGCATGCCAGGCACTCCTGTCTTCTACTGCCTCCCGCAGTTTGGTCAAACTCATGCTGGGAGCTTCGAGAACACTGTCCAACCATCTCTGTCATCCCCTTCTCCTTGTGCCCTCCATCTTTCCCAGCATCAGGGTCTTTTCCAGGGAGTCTTCTCTTCTCATGAGGTGGCCAAAGTATTGGAGCCTCAGCTTCAGGATCTGTGCTTCCAGTGAGCACTCAGGGCTGATTTCCTTAAGAATGGATAGGTTTGATCTTCTTGCAGTCCGATTGTCTAAAATACCTTTACTTCATTATTATATCTGTACTTTTGAGAACAACCACCACCACACTGGGTTCTTTATATATATTTTTTCCAGATTGGTCAGCAACCCCTGAACGACATGGGCTGCAAATGCCACTAAGGTCATTAAGTTTATGTGAAACTTAGGCAACTTAGAAACTTCCCATCTCCTCCATCAGACACACGAAGCAAATTCGAATGCTGCCATTAGCTTTGTAGGTTTTACGACAGGCATGCCTTCGGTGGCACATTTTCAAAGAGCTATAAAAGAGGGCTGTAGGCACATGGCTGTGATTGAAATTCGGGGGAATTATGTGGCCGAGTCCCCAAGCTACGCTTTGAAAGCCAAGCTGCAAGTGTGACTTTTATGTGTTTATCTATTCAAATAGACACACACACACATCCCCAACCCAGTTCATCCCAATCACAGATCAGGAAAACTTGCTGATTTTGCTCCTTTACAAATAAGGAGTAGAAAGATGTGCCACCACCAAAATCATTGTGGGGGGGGCAGATCTGTGACCCCTACTGAGCTGGGAGAAAGCCACCCCTGTTTTAGCTTTTAAGTATAGGAAGAATGAGGGACGCGGGTGGCGCTGTGGGTTAAACCACAGAGCCTAGGACTTACTGATCAGAAGGTCGGCAGTTCGAATCCCTGCGATGGGGTGAGCTCCCGTTGCTCGGTCCCAGCTCCTGCCAACCTAGTAGTTCAAAAGCACATCAAAGTGCAAGTAGATAAATAGGTACCGCTCCGGTGGAAAGGTAAACGGTGTTTCCATGCGCTGCTCTGGTTCACCAGAAGCAGCTTAGGCATGCTGGACACATGACCTGGAAGCTGTACGCCAGCTCACTCAGCCAATAAAGCGAGAGAAGCACCGCAACCCCAGAGTCGGTCACGACTGGACCTAATGGTCAGGGGTCCCTATACCTTTACCTTTTTATAAGAATGACCATTTTCATTGCTCTTACTGTCAGGAAGTTCTTCCTAATGTTTAGTGGAACCTTCTCCATCAGGTACACATGAGATCCATTGCTCAGACGTCAAGCGTCTCAGGGT